GTAATAATTTGACTTCAGTTTGCCTAAACAGGTAGCCCATCCTGGCTACTATTCCGACGAATTCCAATATTAGGTGTCATTTGGTCACGGAGATTGCAGACTAATCCCACCAAGCAGGATCTGAAACACGTCTAGTTCACCTCAAGCCTTACACGTATGTTTTATGGCCTGGAAGGCACGCACACTCTTCCAATGGTAAAAGAACCAGGACAATAGAAAGCGGTTGCTAAAAAGAGGAAACGGTGCTATTTTAGCAAGACTGCTAGAAAGGCATAAAATAGATATAAACCCAGCAGATGGACTTGAGAGCAACACACCTAAATTTTAAAGAAAAAAAAAACCTGTAAACGCAGTGTTTCTCAACCTTGACAATTTTAAGGCATGTGGACTTCAACTCCCAGAAGGCTGTGGAATTCTGGGAATTGAAGTCCACATGCCTTAAAATTGTCAAGGTTGAGAAACACTGCGTGTAAAGAGAGCTTGGTTATATTGCACAAGCACTTTGCCTTACCGTACCCAAAAAAAAAATAAAGTGTCTTTAAGTACCTTTAATTAAAGTGGAGGTGATTCAAATAGTTAAGCATTGTCGATTGCGGCAATGCTGTGTGAATTAAGTTAGAATGAGTTTGAAGATGCATGTCATTTTGTACTGAAATTTAGCGTCAAATTTTGCCGTAGTTGTGGACGATGTCCTTTAAATGAAGTACCCAGATCGAATGTAGTTCAATGATTTGATTGCAAGAATAATTCACAAGTGGGAAGAAAGGGCTCCGGGGCGTAAGTAACTATGCCAATGTGGGGTGGCGCCAGAAATTCCCTCCAGCTTCTGACTTTCACATCAGGGGAACTTTGAGTGATGTGATGTCTCAGGCACAGCTGGTCCGTTAGAAGAGGAATGTTGACATTTGGGGGGACTGGCCAAAAGAGGTGGGGCTCTCGATAATTAAACATGACTTACCCAATTAAATAAAAATTATTCGTGATTACTTGCCCTGGATTTGGTAGTTTTTCTTTGGGTGATTTTTTTTTTTACACACGGTTCTAAGAGGATGAATGGGGGTCTTTTATGCAATCACATTTTTCTCATCTTTATAAGCTGTTTCAAGAATCTACTGGTTTATAGACAGTATTTAACTCTCTGCAGCTTTAGGATGTGCGTGAATGTTCCCTGCTCCAAATTCTGACACGGTCCCAGCCCCAAGTAGACTGGTGTAAATTCTGCATTATCTTTTTTTTTCTTTTCTTCCTTTCCCTCCCCCCCCCAAAAAAAGCACTTTCTACGTGTTTTGTTTGCCACTGTATCTTTTATCTTTGTGGGGTTTTTTAATGTTTGTTTTTGGTCACTACAGGTAATAATAATAATAATAGTAGGAGTAGGAGTAGGAGTAGGAGTAATAAAGTTGGAAGGGATCTTGGAGGTCATCTAGTCCAACCCCCTGCTCAGGCAGGAAACCCTACACCATTTCAGACAAATGGCTGTCCAGTCTCTTCTTAAAAACTTCCAGTGTTGGAGCATTCACCGCTTCTGGAGGCAGGTTGTTCCACTGGTTAATTGTTCTCACTGTCGGGAAGTTTCTCCTTAGTTCTAGGTTGCTTCTCTCCTCGGTTAGTTTCCACCCGTTGCTTCTTGTCCTGCCTTCAGGTGCTTTGGAGAATAGCTTGACTCCCTCGAAAGTCATCTTAACAAAGTGAGTTTTGCCCCATTTTACTTTACTTGCCTCATTTGTTACATGCATCGCTGCAGATGATAAATTAGTTAACACCGTTATTAAGTGAATCTGGTTTATCCAATTTTGCTGGACAGAAGGTTGCAAAAGGGGATCACATGACTTTTGGGACACTGTGACCGTCATAAGTACGAACCAGTTGTCAAGCATCCAAATGTAAATCACGTGATTATGGGGCTATTGCAATGTCCATAAGTGCGAAAAATGGTTATGTCCCTTTTTTCAATGCCGTTTTAACTTCAAACCTGTACTTTCAAAACAAAAGATTTTTTTTTTTTTTTAAAAAAAGGTCTACTCTGTGCCCAGGCCGTCTAAAATGGGTGGCTTTCTATTAGTTGTTTACAATGACAAATTTATTTATTTTTAACAAAGTAACTAGGCCAGGAAATTCCCATAGGCTCTATAGCAGCTTGCAGATCCCCCCCCAAGGGCTAAAAAAAACCCCCAAAACTCCGCAAGTAAACCCTAACCAAGTTTCATGGGGTGTTTATCCCAGAAAACTGATTCACGATTACTCAGTAAGAAAATGCCCTTGTGATGCAGGAAATGATGGGTAGAGTACAGGAAATGACTCGGTGAGAAAAATGTTTTTCTTCTTCCCAGGTTCAAGTTCCATTAGTGCTGGGTTAAGGACCTAAAAACCACAAGCTTGACAGGTTTAACGCTAAAGAAACATCTTGGGATTTTCAGAATTTTATTATCTTATAATTAACCGGCAGTCCTCGACTTACGACCTGGGTTTTGAAGTTCCGACACTACGCCCTCCTGGTCGCATGATCGCACGTTGGATGCTTGGCAAGTTGACTCAGCCTTTCATACCTCCGAGGTCGGTAAAATGAGGACCCAGATTGTTGAGGGCAACAGGCTGACTCTATAGAGGGCTGTAAAAGGCCCTATTGCGATACAGATAGGTAGGTAGGTACGTAAGTAGATAGATAGACAGACAGACGGACGGACGGACGGACGGACGGACGGAGAGCCCTGGTGGCGCAGTGGTTAGAATGCAATATTGCAGGCTATAATTCTGCCAGCAGTTTGATCCTGACTGGCTCAAGGTTGATTGAGCTTTCCATCTTTCCCAGGTCAGTAAAATGAGGACCCAGATTGTTGGGGACAACAGGCTGACTAAACTGCTCAGAGAGGGCTGTAAAGCACTGTGAAGCGGTATATAAGTCCCAATGCTGGTGAGATAGATAGATAGACAGACTGCCTGCCTGCCTGCCCGCCCTAGTGGCACAGAGGTCAGAATGCCGTATTGCAGGCTAATTCTGCCGACCGCCAGAAGTTGGATCCTGATTGGCTCAAAGTTGACTCAGCCTTCCCAGGTCAGTAAAATGAGGACCCAGATTGTTGGGGACAACAGGCTGACTCTAAACTGCTTAGAGAGGGCTGTAAAGCACTGTGAAGCGGTATATAAGTCCCAGTGCTGATTAGATGATAGATAGATAGATAGATAGATAGATAGATAGATAGATAGATAGATAGATAGATAGGCAGGCAGGCAGGCAGGCAGGCAGACAGACAGACAGACAGACAGACAGACAGACAGACAGACAGACAGACAGACCAGAAAGACAGACCGCCCTGGTGGCACAGAGGTCAGAATGCCGTATTGCAGGCTAATTCTGCCAACCGCCAGCAGTTAGATCCTGACCGGCTCAAGGTTGACTCAGCCTTCTCTCCTTCCCAGGTCAGTAAAACGAGGACCCAGATTGTTGGGAGGGCCAGATGCTAACACTGTAATCCTGTTCAGAGACTGTTGTGAAGCACTGTGGAGAGGTAGATTAAATCTTAAGTGCTATTGCTATTGGCAACCGCACTCCATTTACAGGCATGGGCAGCCTCCCACAATCATGCAACCGCAATTTACGAGTTTTTGGTTGAAACCAATGTTTACTTTCAGTATCCGATAAATAAATGCCCATTGTGGACAGTGGATTTACTTAACAACGGCAGTGGCTCACTTAAGAACCACTGCAAGAAAGCTTGTAAAAGCAGATCTGTCAAGGGTGACCCTGCTTCACATCCCAACTTTCAAGGCTCCCTTACAGTCATTAAGTCGAGAGACACCTGCAGATATGGAGGGCAACTCTCTTTAAATCTCAAATAACGAAACCCCCGAGGGCAAAGTCTATCAGTTCTTTGAAGGAGACAGACAGCTGTCATGAGATGGACTGTTGAACAATATTGGCAATCCCTTATTTTAGGATGAAGGAAAGTGACTCGGTGATGTGGGCACTTTATTTAGCAAACAATGCTAAATATTCACAGCATGCTGATGGGGAAATCATTAAAACTGGATTTTTCATAAAGGAAAAAATGAGAGTAATCTCTCCTAAAGCCTGAGAACACTACGAGGCACATTTTAAAAGATTTTTATTAGTTATCTTTCTGCAGAGCCAAAATACTTAGCAAATTACTTCCGAGGATCAAGACTGCTTTTATATATATATATATATTTATGAATTTAAATCTTTAAACATGTACAACGCAATACTTTTTCGCTATCAAAACCCAAAGTCTCGTTCCTATGACTAGATTAATAATTATAACTGTGTGAGGAAAAAAAAACTGAATGCAGTGAATATTATATAAAGAAAGTGCTTGAGAGAGAGAGACGCCCCCAATTTCACACGGTTATGATAAAAACTGACAGTCACTTCATTTCTCCAGAAGGACGTGGCTTAAACAGGATCCCGACCAGCTCAGGTGGGACAGATCCAAAAACTCCTGGGTCAGATAGACAGAAGAGCTAAGGGGCAAAAGATTTCACAGCTTATTATCTGTTTTTTTTTTTGGGGGGGGGGGGACAGAACTGGCAGAAATTCATGAGCAGCCAGGGCCGCCACGCCTGAGAAAGCCGTACCGTTTCTCTGGGGCGTGCAAAGCGGCCGTTAGTGAACCAGTGTTGCACTAAGTTACTAAGTTCCTCCTTTTGGCCCTCCCCACCTTGAGTAAAAACTGACTCTTCCATTGCACTTCTATCGAGCGGATTAAAGAGAGTCAAATGTTGCGGTACGAGCAGGCACACAAATGACAGCGGTTGTAAGGAACTCACGCGCAGTTCGTTGTCAGAGTCGGGTTGATGCTTCTCTGAGTCCGGTACAAAGGGACTGGGAAGGGTGTGTGTGTGTGTGTGTGTGTGTGTGTGTGTGTGTGTGTGTATCAGGGACAGAATGGGGGTGGGTGGGTATCGGGAGGATAAAAACTAGCCTGACACCGTCTGTACAACTCAGTCCAGAGTCTCTGGCCTACCCAAAGAAACAAACGTGGGGAAGGGCACTTAAAACTTTAATCGAAGAAAGCAGTATGGACTCTCTTTTGGGTGGGCGGGCACAGCTGACCAGAGTGAGGGCATGGCAAGGGACCAGCTCTTTCGGCTGCGACAGTATCTCGAACCCAGGATCCTCGTGGCATTCTCCTTCCCGCAGCACCAGAGAGACCCAGACGGCGATGGCAGGGTCCGGTGGCCAGAAGCAGCGAGGGGGCTGCTCTGCTCGCGTTTTCAGCTCGCTCCCGCTCGGGTCATTAAATCTTCCAGGGCGTTGTCTTGGTCGTTGTTGTGTAATAGCAAAGCTTCTTTAATGTCTTTCAGTTTGAATCCCATTTCTTGAAATTTGCTCATGAGCTGGAGAATCTCGGTGGCCTGAGAAAGGAAAAAAGGGGAACAGGATAGTTTACGGCAGTGGTTCTCAACCTTTTTAATGCCGCGACCCCCAACCGGTTGTAAGTCGAGGACTAAACTGGTCGTACGTCGAGGACTACCCAACCGGTCGTAAGTTGAGGACTTTCCCTGCCCAGGAGCGCCACGCATGTGTGGCTCCGCCCCCTGCGCCGGCCGAGGCGTAGCTGGCAAGCGGCAGAGACGGAGCAGGCCAACCACCAGCTGGCCCAGCCCAAGGGAGGTAAGGCACCCGCCGGAAAAGGGGGAAAAAATGGCGGACAAAAAAATGGCGGACAAAAAAAATGGCAGACAGCCTTGCTTGGCGACCCCCGTGAAATGGTCGATCGACCCCAAATGGGGTCGCGACCATAGGTTGAGAACCGCTGGTTTACGGGAATCTTGGGTCACTGAGCTTTTGGTTTTGGGAGGCCCAAGGTAGTGAAAAAGATGATCTGGAGAGACTTCACATCAGGAGTGTCCAAGCTTGGGAACTTTAAGACTTACGGACTTCAACTCCCAGAATTCCCAGCCAGCCATTCAAGGAGTTGAAGTCCACAACAGGACTAGCAATAGCAGTTAGACATAAATACCGCATTACAGCCCTCTGTAGGCGGTTTACAGAGTCAGCCTCTTGCCCCCAACAATCTGGGTCCTCATTTTACCGACCTCGGAAGGATGGAAGGCCGAGTCAACCTTGAGCCGGTCAGAATCGAACTGCCAAACTGCTGGCAGCCGGGAGTCAGCAGAACTAGCCTGCAGTACTGCATTCTAACCACTGCGCCACCAAGTCTTAAAATTCCCACGTTTGGAGACTTGCTGGCTGGGGAATTCTGGGAGTTGAAGTCCACAAGTCTTAAATGTTAGCATATAAAAGTAAAAAAGTTGAGGTTGCAATGTTATTGTTTTATTGCGCCAAAAAGAGCCAGAAATCAATGCTTTTCTCTTTCCCATCTTTCCCTTTTTTCTTCCCCTATTCTTCCACTGTTTTCATTTTTTCCTCCTCCTCCTCCTCCTCCTCCTCCTACTACTACTACTACTACTACTACTACTAACTACTTCAAAAACGGCCCTCTTTCCCCAGGGGCCCTAGGGCAACTATCCACGGCAGCGGAAAGACTTGCCCCCCCCCAAAGGCAGAGGCTGCTAAGATTCACCGGAGTAAACCAAGCTGACTTTGGGCATAGGACTGGTCAACATTTGAACAATGAAAACGGACGCTCAACTAGAAGAACTGCTGACTGAATTCAACAATACGCACTGGGATATCGTTGGATTATATGAAACACAACGAAAAAATGAAAATTTGTATTTTACATCCCGATTCAGGTCGACTCAGCCTTTCATCCCTTCCGAGGTTGGTAAAATGAGGACCCAGATTGTTGGGGAGGGGGCAAGAGGCTGACTCTGTAAACCGCTTAGAGAGGGCTGTGAAGCACTGTGAAGTGGTATATAAGTCTAAGTGCTATTATCTACCTATCTACCTATCTATCTATCTTGACTCAGCCTTCCATCCTTCCAAGGTCGGTAAAATGAGGACCCAGATTGTTGGGGGCAAGAGGCTGACTCTGTAAACCGCTTAGAGAGGGCTCTGAAGCACTGTGAAACGGTACATAATCTAAGCGCTATTGCTATTATCTATCTATCTATCTATCTATCTATCTATCTATCTATCTATCTATCTATCTATCTATCTATCTATCATCTATCTATCTAATCTATCTATCTATCTATCTTGACTCAGCCTTCCATCCTTCCAAGGTCGGTAAAATGAGGACCCAGATTGTTGGGGGCAAGAGGCTGACTCTGTAAGCCGCTTAGAGAGAGCTGTGAAGCACTGTGAAACGGTACATAAGTCTAAGTGCTGTTACTATTGCTGATAAACTTAATAAGAAAGGAAAACACACACAAAAGAACAAGCCACAAATCCAGCAGTGGCCACAGTGAAAGCTGCACCTTTGTGTCGAGCAGGTGGTCCTAACCTGATCCAGGAGGAGAGATTCGAGAACCTGATCAAAGCGAACGCTCACCTTCTCTTCTGAGCACTGATACATTTCGAGAGCAGCTTCTACCAGGAGCGGATCAAAGCCCTTCTCGCAGAGTTGCCCCCGGACAACCAGGTATTCCAGAATCTACAGGGAGAATTTA